AAAACTTCTTATCCAGACAACATAATATTATTCTGTGCTGAAAAGAAATGAGCTTTATGAAAAGAAATGGAGAAAATTTAAATTCATTTTAAGAAGCCAATATGAAAAGCTAGGTACTGTGTGATTCCAACTATATGACATTCTAGAAAAGGCAAAGTTATGGAGGCAGTAAAAAGATTGGTGATTGCCAGGGTTTAGTGAAGATGGAGGGATGAGCAGGTGGGACACAGGATATTCAGGGCAGGAAAACACTCTGTTTGATGCTATAATGGCAAAGGCCCGTCATTATATGTTTATCTAAAGCCAATAGTCCACCCTGATGTAAACTATTAGTGTTAGTCGCTCAGTCATGTCCAACTCTTTGTGACTTCATGGACTATAGCCCACCAGGCTCCTCTGTGCATGGGATTTCCCAGGCAAGAATATTGGAGTGGGTTGCCATTTCCTCCTACAGGGGATCTGCTCCACCCAGGGATCAAACCTGTGTCTTCCTCATTGCAGGCAGATTCTTAACCATCTGAGCCACCAGGAACACCCTGAAAACTATAAATCTGGTGTTAACAATGTGTCAGTGGAGGTTCCTGGATTGGAGCAGATGTACCACTCTGGTGGGCAATGTTGATTGGGGGCTGGGGGAGGGGATTGGAGACTATATGAGAACTTAGTACTTTCAGATCAGTTTTGCTGATAACCTAAAACTGCTCTAAAATGAATTTGAGCAAACTCCAGGAGATAGTGAAGGACAGGAGAGCCTGGTATGCTGCAGTCCACGGGGTTGCAAAGAGTTGGACATGACTTAGTGACTGAACAACAATAAAACTGCTCTAAAATTAAAGACTATTAAAAAAAAGATCCTCTTAGGAGAGGAATGGGACCTAAAATCAAACTTTTGGGCTTCCCAGGTGGCATTAGTGGTAAAGAACCCGCCTGCCAATGCCGGAAACAGAAGAGACTTCGGTTTCATCCTGGGTTGGGAAGATCCCCCGGAGGAAGGCATGGCAACCCACTCTAGTATTCTTGCCTAGAGAATCCCATGGACAGAGGAGTCTAGCGGGCTACAGTCCATAGGGCCACAAAGAGTCGGACATGACTGAAGCGACTGAGCACACATGCAAAATCAAACTTTGAGACTAGGCATGTGAATCCCTTCTTGGGGTGCTTAACTATAAGGAAAGATTATTTTCAAGTGCCCACATTATCAACAGTCTTCCCACCTCTTTTTCCAGAAGGGGTGTGTGTGTGTGGTGTTTGCACACTCTCACACATACCATTTCCTCCTGTGGTCTTGGAAGCACTGCAGTCAACTAGCGGGGATTAGCTGAGGCTTTGAGGCTTTGTCACCTCCAGACTCCACCAGCCCAGATTTGTCCCTGGGCCCTCCATGCCAGCTTTGTAAGGAAATCTTACTGGGTTCTTTGGTTTGCCAACCACATGATCTAACAGGCAGCAATGCCAAGTCCAGTCCTCACTCTCCCAGGCAAGTTGCACAAGGCCTGGATTCCTTCCTGGGAGATCCTCAGGTCGAGCCTAGTGCAGTGACTGAATCCCACCCAGCACTTTGCTCTCGCTGTGAAGCTTCTGCAGAAACAAGGCGTTCACATTCTAATCTTGGCATTTCAAATTCAGGTGGACATTCTTGAATCCTTCTTCTCTGGGTGCTCATCAGCCCTGGCCTTTGTGTATTTGATTTCCAGTTATGGGCTCTGAGGTCTCTTCTTCATCCTCACTCTGACCCAACTTCCCCTTCTGCCTCAGTTGCAACCGTCTTCTTCCCTAGCATGATATTCTATTAAGTGATGCATAGAATTATGTTTTCTTTTAATTTTAAGTGAAAACTGCTACTTGGAGGTGAAAATCCATAAAAGGGCTCTGGGTATTCATTAAAAAAAAATTTTTAAGACCCTTCTATCTTACAATTAGTCCCCCAAAATGTGATGATATCATCTGGCATGGAACACGGTCCTTGGTGTTTTTCCTGAAGTGTGAGTTTAATTTACTGACTTTACATGTCTGGGGGTGGCACTTCTGGTAAAGCACCCGCCTGCCAATGTAGGAGACACAGGAGACATGGGTTCAAGCCCTGGGTTGGGAAGATCCCCTGCAGAAGGGAATGGCAACCCACTCCAGTAGTCTTGCCTGAAGAATCCCAAGGACATAGGAGCCTGGCAGGCTACAGTCCATGGGGTCGCAAAGAGTTGGACATGACGGAGCACGCACACACAACTGCATACATGTCTAATGTGGGTCCCAGATTTGAGCTAGTACTATAGCTCTTGTAATCATCCACATGTTCTCACCTGTGTGTAGCACCATATACAGACACTTCTACTGTATATATTTTGAGAATTTAATCAGCTAAGTATTTTTAATCAGGAGATGCCACAACTTCTAGGAGAGAAAAGAATATCTGATTAGACTGCAAAAACTTCAGATTGTTTCTCTGCTACCTTTAAAGATTGATATAACCAACTAGAATGAATCATTTCCTCTCCCTCCCACCCATAAATAATCATTCTTTGAAAAATGGGTTTCCTGGGGTTCCTGGGATTCCTGGGGTTCCTGGATATATCACTGCAACATTCATTCATTTAATAAAGCCATGTTCTTTTAAAGGACAAACCAACTGAGACTTGTGAATTTCCTCAAATTGGCAATGCAGTTTTGCAATAGTTTCTTTTGCTCCAGGCTGTACATTTTGAATAATGCGCAGATTATGATCCAATGTGACTTTGTTATCTGGTTGGTGAAAAATCCTAACAGTAATGTCACTTCCTCCAGGAAGCCCATCCTTATTCCGTCTCTTGAACGCACGTCACTAGGTCTTTTGGCACTCACCCTATTGGCTTCCTCTTTATCCCTGCCTCCACACTGTAAACCCTTCTTGTCCAGACATAATCAGCTGTCAAGTTTCCCTCCATTGCTCACAGGCAGGCCTAGCCTGATTCATGACAAGCCTTCAACAAATGCCAGTTAAAGGAACTGAACTGCCAAATGCAGAGAACGAACAGGAGGTAAACTTCCCTCTTCGACTCTGCTCGGGTCCTGACTGGGTTCTCTGCTGCAGATCCGCTCCCCTTTATGCTCAGACAGGTGGAATTAACACTAGGAGACAGGATGGCGTCTGGAGTAAGTACAACCACATATACAACATCTCCATGATCAGAAGGCAGGAGCCACACATTTAATGGGATATCCTACCAGGCAACAGGTGAAAACAGACCCTAGCGAAAATACCTGCTGCACTGTGGGGCTGTTTGCACCCGCTGTATTATTTCTGTAGACCATTTGTTTTCTAAAAGATCATTTAAAGATTGTTCAGCTGGCTCCCAAAAGGGAGAAGGAGGAGGGAGCTGAAGTCTCTTTCAAAGCAAGAAAGGAAGGGAGGTGACTTTAAATTCTGCATTAAATCCGGTTAAAAGCACATAACTTCATCCTTTAGTAGATATTAGTCATAGCCTCACTCTAAGGGCAGGGTGAAACCTACTTGCCCGAAGGAAAGGGAGGGGGTAGAAAAACAAAGCAACATAAAGTTTTCAAATGTTCTCCTTTTGGAAAGGGAGGGACTTCAAAACCACAGCGTGCCAAATGCCACCTCCTCCTCCTTGAAAAGCCCTACAAGCCTAAGAATAACAGCTTCTGGGGATGCGCAAAGCTCCTGAGGGCTGATTATTTTTCAGGAGGAGAATTAGACAAAAATAATGCAAGTGGGAAATAAAGAGAATGACCTACTTTACAGGGGGGAAAAGGGAGGTCTGCGTGAACGTTTTGATCTAATTGACGGTGCCGAGTTGCATGCCCAAATAAGGCGCTGTGGGTCGGGTCTGCGCTGGAGAGGGTTTGTCTTGAGCTCGGAGAAAATAAAGGCAGGGCCCTGGAACCGAGTGGGGGGCCCGTCTGACGTTCTGAGAGGCCTGAGAAGATAGTGTGATGGGACAGGACTGGTGGAGGCACTTTCCTCTAATTGTACAAAGGACTCAGGGACATCCGAAAAAGGCTGCTGGGCTCCGAGCGCTGCGCCAGGCAACATGCCTCTGTGAGGTCCCAGGGGTGACCTCGCGGGGATGGGAAGCCTATCGCCTCTTTGGGGCTTCTTCCCTGGCGCCGAGGATGGACAGGGGTTTATGAGTCTAGAGGAGCCGGGACACCGTTCCGGGCCCCGGCGGGGCGCGTGGTCTCTCTTTCCCACCCGACTCTGTCTTGGAGCCCCGCAGAGGTTGCAGCAGCAGCTGCAGGCTCCCCGGGCTGATGATGCGCACGTGTCTGTGTTCGCTGTTTGAGGGAACCTTGCTGAATGCCTCCTTGTTTTCTCCTGCACGCCGCTCCAGCTTCTTCTCTCTTTTTTTGGATTCTCGCCTGTCTCCTCCCACAGAGAGGGGGAAAAAAAAAAAGGTCACGTATGTTTGGAAAAATATGTAGGTCAGTGGAACATTTCCTGCACTGGTGCAAAAGGAGACGGGGGCAGCGGGGGAGGGGAAGGAGCCGCAGCTCGGAGCTCCGGGTCCGCGCTCCTGGCCGCGGCCCCCAAGCCCTATAGGAGGGGCTCCTTTCCATCCTTGACCCATTTTCCGGACCAGCTACGTTCGCCTCGGAAGAAACAGTGATCGTCCCTCCCCAGCAGGCGCCGCGGTCCTCTGAGCTCGCCGGCGTCTCCCTGATCCCCGCCCGCAGCTCTTCGGGAAAGCGCAGTGGTCGGCGCGCAGGGCCACCGCACGAGGACGGCGTGCTGGGGGCCGCGGTGGAGCGCTGGCCCCCCAACGGGGACCGCGGGGTGGCAGGGGGCAGGGGAGGGCGATTCCCCGCCGCCCCCACTGACAACTTGAACGGGACCTCCACTGGCCTCTCCTTCGGACAGTTCCCCTCTAAGCACACCCTGTCCCCGCCCCGCACCCTCGGCCGGACCATGCCGCGCGCCCCCGGCAGCAGCCCTGCAGTGGCGGCCTTGGGGCGCGGGTGTCTCGGCCGCTCAGGGGAGCTGGGGGGTGGGAGGTGGGTCCAGGGGTTCATCTGCTCGTAGGGAGCGCAGGGTGCGGGTCCCAGGCTGGGTCGCGGCCAGGGTCCGGCGTGCGGCCAGGAGAGACCCGGCCGGCGGCGGCCGCGGGAGCGCAGGGGAGGAGGAGGAGGACCGAGAGGAGGCGGGAGGAGGGCGGGGGAGGAGGAAGAGGCGGCGGCGGCGGCAGCGGCGGCGGCGGCTCCTCTCCCCGCCGGCTCTGCGTGCGGAAGAGTTTGCCGCGCGAGCAGCCGGCCTCCCGCAGGAGCCTAGGGACGCGCGGCGGCGGCGTAGCTCTGAGACCCGCAGCCGCGGCGGCGGCGTCAGCAGCGAGAGCAGCGCCTCCCGCCGCCGCCCGGGAGGAGCTCGCCGCGCCCGCTCGCCGCCTCGGCTCCCAGCGGCGGCGGGAGGCGCGTCTCCCGGGCCCAGCCCGCGCCCGGCCCCGCGGGGCCGCCCCGGCCCGCTCCGAGGTAAGGGCCGAGCCCCAGGACGAGGGGCCCCGGGGTGGGAGGGCGCGCGCGCAGGGTCGTGGGACTTGATCACCTGCCTGCCGGTGCGGTGGACGCACGGAGCAGGGAGGGACGCCCCGGCCCGGGACTGCGCTTCGCGGGGGGCCGGGGGCGCAAGGCTGTTGGGTCCCCACCGCCAGCCCCTGGTCCTGCGGCCGGGACATCTAGTCCTGCGGGATCGCGGCGGCGGCCGGGCGGGTCGTCTCCGTGTGCGTCTCGCCGTAGGAGGCAGAGGATGAGACACCCCGATCCGGGGTGCTCAGAGAGTACCGTCGGGGTGGGTGGAGGCCGTGCCAGGGTAGCAGCCTCGAAGGTCGCCTAGAGGCTTCCCTGAGCCCCATCGCGCGCTCTCCAGAGCGTGGGGCGCCGGGGACCCCCGAAGAGGGTGACATGCGCGCCCCGGGCCCACGATCTCGAGGGGTCCCTAGATCGGAATTGGTTCCGGGCCGTCATGGGTGCCGAGCCGGCCTCCTGGACACGAGTAGCCGGCCCTGCTCGCCGCCTCGCTCCCCAGGTTGGATGCCAGCGCCTTGTTTTGTTGGAAGGTGTGCTCCCTCCCCCGAGCCGAGGAAGGAGGCTTACCTTTGACCTTTCCAGAGATCCGCACTGGGCGGGTAACCTGGGGGTAGGGCCGTGTACCGAAAGGCCAAATTAAAAACCAACCCCTCTTCTCTATCTGCCACTCCTTAACTGCTTAAGGTAAGAAAGTTTGTTTTCAGCCCCGTGATTCATAAATAATTAGTAACCAGCTCTGTTGATTAAGCAAGATGGAAACCTTAAAAATACACACGCACTTCCAGAAAGTCTAAAAGCTTCCAAGGTTGTATCAGGGAGGGTTTAGTCCGCAAAGTTGAAAGCCCCTGGGTTCAACAGGTGTTCAGAAGGGGTCTGGAAAGAGAGAGTTCGGTGAGTTTGGTCTTTAGTGCCTACTCCTTTGATTCATTATATTGATTGGCCTGTTTCTTTACAGCAAAATATGGAGTAGTTATTAAATTAACGTAATTAGCAGAGACGAACTGGTCATAATTGATCATTTAGAACCGGAACCTTTTTTCCCTTAATAGGAGGGTTTTCCCCGTTTGGACTTTGCAGTTAATTAGTTCTAAGGCAGTTCCTGGCAGCGTTCAGCTCTGTCCATCCCTCTGTCTAGGAGGCACAAACTAACTCAGTCCCTGATCAGTGAATTGACCAACTCATTATGAGGTGCATTAAAAACACAGCAAGTTTTAATTGTTCTTCCTTGGGAGGTGCAAGTTCAAAATTCAAGGGTAAGTTGTAACTCTGGCTTTCTGTTCAGATGATTTCTTAAAGGCGAAGTTTGCCAAAAATTAACCCCCAAATGTATTTAAAAATAACTCTGCAATAAATATGATGTTTAAAAGAGCTATTCAGGCTTGGACCACTATTTTGCAAAAGCAAAAGATCTGTTTGATTGCACAGCTAAAGCAGGACCGGTAGAAGTATTGGCATTTCTCAGCAGTCTACTTAAAGATTTAGTTAAAAATAAAGTGTACGCAGCAAAGGCTTTCAATAATCGTCTTCCGTCTCACAGAGAGATGCGAAGTGTGGCTTAGAAGAATTGTAAGTATGCTGCTTTTAGCCATTTTCTCCTTGGAAATCGATGCATATATTTATCTGCTGATCTGTCCCACTGCAGCAGATGTAAAATCAGTTTGATTCTCACTGCTCCTGGTAGTGACTCCCATGGAGGCCAGAGAAGGGAATATATTCTAGAGGAAATATGTTACTAATAAAATGTTACCTCCCAAAGAGTTAAACATGCCCAGAAAAAAACCAAGTGAGGCTTCACTAATTAGCCAGTTGAAAAAAAAAAAATTGCCTGATTGGAGAAGTGAGTGTTCAGATGGTGGCTCAAGAATTCATCTTTCTGTAGAAAATAACAATTGTTTTTAAAGCTCATTTGATTCTTGTTACGAGTTTGGGCCCTTTTTACTATTTCTGGCTATGTAATAATGAAAATGATAAACAAAATAATAAAAATAGTTTAAAATGACTCATATCATCTGTTATATGTCATGATGTAGTTGAATTCATCTTATTTTTTGGAACAGTCTTTCTTAACTCTTGGTAATCTTTATAGCTGGCTTGTTAGTACTGCTACTAGTTTTTAGGTTACACATTCAAAATTAGTGATTTCTTTCAGATTAAAATAACAATGCATACATATGCTCTTTATATCTTTATATGATCCTTTATAATATAAATAGATGGGGAAACAGTAGAAACAGTGTCAGACTTTGTTTTCTGGGGCTCCCAAATCACTGCAGATGGTGACTGCAGCCATGAAACTAAAAGACACTTACTCCTTGGAAGGAAAGTTATGACCAACCTAGATAGCATATTAAAAAGCAGAGACATTACATTGCCAACAAATGTCCGTCTAGTCAAGGCTATGGTTTTTCCAGTGCTCATGTATGGATGTGAGAGTTGGACTGTGAAGAAAGCGGAGCGCCAAAGAATGGATACTTTTGAACTGTGGTGTTGGAGAAGACTCTTGAGAGTCCCTTGGACTGCAAGGAGATCCAAGCAGTCCATCCTAAAGGAGATCAGTCCTGGGTGTTCATTGGAAGGACTGATGCTGAAGCTGAAACTCCAATACTTTGGCCACCTCATGTGAAGAGTTGACTCATTGAAAAAGACCCTGATGCTGGGAGGGATTGGGGGCAGGAGGAGAAGGGGATGACAGAGGATGAGATGGTTGGATGGCATCACCGACTCGATGGACATGAGTTTTAGTGAACTCCGGAGTTGGTGATGGACAGGGAGGGCTGGCGTGCTGAGATTCGTGGGGTCGCAAAGAGTCGGACACAACTAAGCAACTGAACTGAACTGATGGTCCTTTATGTGGTCCTCAGTATACCTATATATGGTCATTTCTTGGAAGCCTGGCTTTTGAACCTTAAGCCTCTAGAGGGCTAAGTCCTTTTTCTTAATTTTTAAAACAAGCATATATTTTATTCTTTCCATGAAAAGTTGGCTTTTCCGTGGTGATCCGAGCACTGACTGTCCCATGCTGATCTCAGGCACTGAGTGGCATTTCTTTCCCAGGAGAGGTCAGATTGTGAGGTGCTGAAAATAGCCCAGTAACACTATATTCTTGGCTTTCTTATGGCCACAGTCTAATTGGCTGCATCAAAGAAGCATCTGATGGAATTTTGCATGTAAGTAGTGACAATGATACACACTACTTGCTTACAGAAATGTTTGACTAGCAGGTTCCTGATCTTTACTCTCTGTGTAGCAAAGATAAGAGGCTACATTCATATTCCATCCAGCATCTCATCCCTAGGAGGCCTTGTTCATCACTGATGCTCAATAATAAGTAGGTGTAGGAAACAGGCTGACTTGTGGATGACAGTTATCCAAAGGGTAGAAATTGCTGAATGCTAATGGGGTACTTAACTCTGAGTAATTCTAGTTTAATTCTGAAGATGATTAATAGCACCTTAGAGCACTAAATAAACACTTATTAAATGTGAACATATGTTTAAAGGGGGAACATCTTTAATGCAGTCTTTAAGACACTACTGTTTCTCACTGAATTCTTTGAGGTTGGGGACCACTGGCATTTTAAGCAATGTCTTTGGGGAAGTTCCCAGAGATCACTTGAACTTCTGTGGGTCATAAGATAATGTGTCATTTTCCATAAGATGATTCAGAATAGAAACGAGACTTTAATCTTCTATGTTGATGTGAAACAAAGCAAAACAAAAATGTATTTAAAAAGAGGAGGGTACAGAAAGATGGTATGTCAAACTTTATAGTGTAGAGTAGCATTGATCGTCTGGGGACCTTGTGAAGGGCAGGTGCTGACTCAGCAGGTCTAGGTTGGAACCTGAGAGCCTGCATTTCTTACAAAGCTCCCCCGTGCTCCAGAGACTATGACACTCTAGAAGGTTCTGGAATATTCTCAGTCCAGTTCAGCCTGTGTAGCATCTACTGCATAGGAGGACCAGGTGATAGAAAAAGAAAGAACATGGGTCCTCCCTGCCCTCAAGGAACTGACACAGTGAGGAAGAGAGAATCTCTCTAGATGGAACTGAGGCTCTGGGACACTACTCTCAGTGTGGTGGCAGCCTGAGAGGGACCCAGCAAAGAGGTTTTTCCTGGTAGGGCTCCCATGCTGGCCACCCTTGACCTCTAGTTTTCGTTGAGAAGCTCTGTGACTCACCAGGAAATAAAATGCAGATACTGAAATCAGACAGATCTGTGGTAGCCTTCTTGCTCAGCTACCGTGTGACTTGGGGTGACTTTTACTTTAACCTTCCTGAGCCTCAGTGTCCTGGTTAGAAGAATAGTGGGAATAACGCTTACCTCATCAAGGTAGGTAGGATGACCAGTGAAGGAGACACATCAGACATAACAGAAAAGTGTGTGTTAGTCACTCAGTCATGTCTGACTCTCTGTGACCCCCTGGACTGTAGCCTGCCAGGTCCTCCATCCATGGGATTCTCCAGGCAAGGATACTGGAGTGGGTTGCAGTGTTGCTTTTATTACTGCTGATGGGAGAGGGGAGGCTTGCTAGGCATGGAGGAAGAAGAGGTTCCTAAAAATATTTTTGCACGTAGTTCAGCAATTAGAGATTCCATTTGGTTAATCAGCAAACCCAGGGCTGGCAGGAGAGAACCCGGCCTGGGGCTGGAGGGCGGGCAGCCGTGCAAGGTAATGGATACAAAATGGGATGGTGAGGAGCACCCACATCTCCACTCTTCTGCAGGACCCTGGCTTCTGGTGAGCCCTGATGATACCCTTCTAGCAATATATTTACCTGAGGCTGTTCCTGGTACTCACCCTGTAGGTTCTGTTGATCAAGACCGACTGGTGGTGGTGGTAATCAGGCACGCCTTAACAACATGTTTCGGAGGGAAGGGCATTGGTGTGTCCCTTGCTGGGCCCTTTTAAGGGTCAGAGCCATTCATCAGCCCTCTTCAGTTTAGTGGGAGTTCCCTGAAGGCAGTGCAGGATGAGTGGGAATTCACCACCCAGCATTTTATACTTCATGCTCTGAGGTGATTACTTCCTCCTGACTTCTGGGGAAGGCAGATGTTCCAAGGTAGATGTTTCCTTCACCCTGATTTTAGGGGGAGTCATCTGGATTTCCCATTTGGCACAAGTGGTAAAGAACCTGCCTGCCAGTACAAGAGATGTAAGAGGTGCAAGTTCGATCCCTGGGTCAGGAAGATCCCCTGGAGGAGGAAATGGCAACCCATTCCAGTATTCTTAGAGCCTGGAGAATCCCATGGACAGAGGAGCCTGGAGGACTGCAGTCCGTGGGGTTGCGAAGAGACGGACGCCGCCAAAGTGACTTAGCATGCAAACTGTGTGGCCCTCAAAATACCTCCACCACTATTGCTCTCTTGTGTATGTTTGTGAGTTCTGCTTATTATTTACAAAGGAGACATCTCTGCTCCTATTCCCACTCCATGCTCCGCCAAAATAAACCTTGAAAACCAAGAGTGAGAGAAGGGCAATGGGCTTGTGACCCTGTGATGTATGTGAGGGAAGGACTAATGATTGAACCCAAGGCCATGAAGGAGGTTAAGGGGGAAGTGTCAGGGAATACCTAAACTGGAAACCAGAGCAGAGGCGGGACCAGAG